TTTTTTTTTTTTTTTTTTTTTTTTTTTTGTGTGTGTGTGTTTCGCTAAATGTTGAAATGTTGTAAAAATTTCTGTCATAATACTCTAACATACTGTAATGTAAAACCTAACAAGTTAATTTTCCTAGTATCTTTTGCTGGGTTGATTGACAATACAAACATGTGAGATTTAAGATAATATCCAATGTATGAAACCTCTGATGAAAAACTTTTGGTATTTATAATTGCTCTTGGATTGGTAACAGGCATTCTACTGATCGTGAAGTTGCCATCATGATGCTCCTGGCTTACTTATCTTACATGTTGGCTGAAGTAAGTTTTAAAGGCAGTCTCAGTGAGTTTTTTTTGAACTTCTGCTGTTTTGCATATTTTGTGGTAGATTCTTAAGTAGGAGTGATTTTTTTTTTTATAATTTGAGTCGTGTCATGCAGTTATTCTACTTAAGCGGAATCCTTACTGTATTCTTTTGTGGGATTGTGATGTCGCACTATACCTGGCATAATGTCACCGAGAACTCAAGAGTCACCACCAAGTACGATTTTATGCTTAATATGCCCATAAATACTAGTTTTTCTCGTTTTAATTTCTTGGTAATGATATTTAATCATCATACAGGCACACGTTTGTTACATTATCATTTGTTGCCGAGACATTCATATTCCTTTATGTCGGCATGGATGCTTTGGATATTGACAAGTGGAGGGTTGTTAGTAGCAGGTTTACGATGGTGGTTGCTATCATTATATAACTATTTACCATGTATAACTTTTATTATGCCGTTTTCTTTTAAACTTCAGTATTATTATTTCCATTTTTCAGTCCGAAAAAGTCCATGGCCGTTAGTGCGACTCTGCTGGGGTTGACTATGGTTGGCCGTGCAGCCTTTGTATTCCCTTTGTCATTTCTGTCCAACTTGACCAAGAAGTCCCCGACTGAGAAGATTGAATTTAAGCAGCAAGTAAAGTCTCAAAGTTGTTTAGTTGTTACTTTAAAGTTCTCGTCATCCTCGTCTGAATACTATATTCGTTTCTAATATGCAGATCACCATATGGTGGGCTGGGCTTATGCGGGGCGCTGTTTCTATGGCTCTTGCTTACAATCAGGTAAAAACTGAGCTGTGACTTACTATATATGATAAATGAACTATCAACGCGTGGTTAAGGACTGGTATAGTATGTTTGTGATTTTGGAAAAATATGACTTTTTACTTTTGTTTCGTGCAGTTTACTAAAGCAGGCCATACCCAGGACCGTGGAAATGCCATCATGATTACAAGCACTATAACAGTTGTCCTCTTCAGCACTGTGGTAAGATGATTAATAATGGTCTGTGCTTTAGACAAGTTGTCAGACTACGGTAGCTTGCCTTTTGATGAGTTCGCCAATAAAAAATAATTCGGAAAGAACTGAAAAGAGATGGTTTTTGTGATGAAAGGTCCATTTACCAAATTGAAGGGGGTTAAGTTGGGCATATTAACTGAGCTATTGGCTTCTACATATTCTGAAGATAGTTTTAGAGCACATCCCAGAAGTAAATGGTGGAGGACCGACCAAAATAAGGGTGTTAGAGCTTTCTATAAAATGTTAGTAGTGTCAATTTTTTGGACGCAATTGGTCGGTCACAAGTCATTATGATTTTTTTTTTTTTTTTTCAAACGCTTGTAGAAAAAAAATATGAGTATTCCCCTCATTCACTCGTGAAGTTGCCCTTTCCTTAAATTCAACTTCGATTTCTTTTTTAGACCTTAAACACTCTTTAAGGAGCTTATCATCTCCGGAAAAGACAGAGATACGATTGACCCACTGTTTTACAGGTGTTTGGGCTGTTGACCAAACCCCTGGTGAGGTACCTGATGCCCTCCCAGAAACAACTGAGCCGGATGATATCCTCCGAGCAGCCCCTCACCCCAAGCTCCTTCACGGTCCCACTTCTTGGTGAGGGTCAGGACTCAGTCTCCGAGCTGTTCAGTGGAAATGGGATGAGCTCTGAGGGTCGAACTGTGGCCCGCCCGAGTAGCCTGCGCATGCTGCTGACAAAGCCCACCCACACGGTCCACTACTATTGGAGAAAATTCGACGATGCTTTCATGCGACCCGTTTTTGGCGGGCGTGGGTTTGTGCCGTACGTGCCGGGCTCCCCCACTGAGCACAGCGTTCACCAGCAGCAGCAGCAGCAATGGCAAGGAGAAACCAAACACTGAGCGAGGACGACTGTTTGGGAAGTCAGGTTTTTTTTTGTACATCTCTATTTTTGTACAACTAGTTTTGTTCGATCGGTTGCTTTTTTTTTTTTTTTTTTTTTTTTNNNAAAAAAAAAAATATTATTCTTATTGTCGTGCGGGGAATAGTGGGATTTTGTCTTTGTAATTTTATTTCCTTGAATATCTGAAGATTTTTCTGTATAAGGTTTCAACTGTTCACACTGTGATGTATATTTGTGTGAGTATCTCGCTTTTGTATATGGACATTTTATTTAGCCACAATATTTATTTGGAAGTTCTCTTGTGTTGTTTATCCTCTCTTGGTTTGTGTTACAACTTACAACAAAGAAATGTACAATGGAATGTTTATTCAAAGTTTACTAAGGTCAGGTGGCCTTTGTACATATTACATATATGTACTACATGTTTGGCAATGCGTATTATTTAATATCAGATAAAAAATTCAATGTTAACCTCATATTTAATGTACCATTTAAAAATTTCCTTCATTGTACCAAAAAAAAAAATGTACTACCTCCTGTTCATTATAAATGTCGTTTTGACTTTTGTGATTCATCCATTTTATTATGTATCTATACATATTAATGTCTAGATACATAATAAAATGGATGAATCACAAAAGTCAAAACGACATTTATAATGAATAGGAGGGAGTACCATTTAAAAAATATCGTCGACTGTCTCGTACATCTTCTCTCTGCGAAATATCTAGTTTATACTCATTTTGATTTAAGTTATATTTTATTTTGTTTCATTAAAAGATTATAATGTATTAAATTTCTGGCTCACGTATAAAAGTTACTAAAAAAGGTAATTAAATTAAAAATGTATCAAAATTGAATATTCGATCATCTCGTTGCCACCCGCTGCTGTTGGGCATCACCATTAGTTGTCGTCCGTCGTCTACCACTTTTACTGTTTTTTATGGGGTATTCGGTTACTACCACAAGTGGTTATAACACTCGAGGATTAACCGAACACTGCCATTTTTCACATTTCGTTTTAGACGATGTTCTTTGTCCTGTGAAATGCCCCGAGGACATTCTATAGGTGCATGTTTTTTGTTTTCTCAGACATGCTCGAGAACTACTACAAGTATTCATGGAAGGCTTCTCTATTTTTGACACTTTATTTTCAGATTACCTACATATTGTGTTCTTGAGCGGTGCATTGAATCTAACTTCTTACTTTTATCTGGGAGGTTTTTATGGTGAGGAGCCGAATTGTACTTGACCATGTCGTGCTAGTAGGGGAATTGAAGGTGATAAAGAAAAATTTAATGTGATTGAAATACTATTCCGACTAGCGTTTTTTGCATTGAGAGAAAAGTCATGTTAGGACATTACTTTTATTTGCTTGTTTAGAATACGTGTGCGAACTATTTTGGCTAGCTTTCCTTGAGATACGAATTAGGGATTGATCATTTGAGATTAATATCTAGTAAAAATAATGACAATAAAGAGGTATGTTTGACAGGCACCCAACGGGGTTTGGATTGGTGTTTTGAAGAGCTGACCTCATTTTGACAAAGTCGACACTTCCACGAACTAGTGTCAGCTTGGTGGGGTCAATGCCTTGACGAGCTGGCCTCGTCTTGATCTGGAGAACCGAAAGTGAGTACCTCCCTCGGGGGATTCCTATGTCCTTCGTCAGGAATAAGAGTATTTTCTTCGAAAGATGGCTCTTTTAAACAGTTTAACCTATTGTGATCGATCTGAGGGAGAATGAATATTTCCAACTGAATATTTCTACGGCCTTTAGAGTGAACATCACATTTTAGCACTGATCGATATTGTGTTTGTAATTTTTATGATAGACACAACACCAGGACTTGTCTAAAGTGGTCTCATCTCTCAAGATCGGCTTGAGATCTGGTCAAATCCCTTTTTTTTTATTTATTTATAAATGCCAACAACACAGACTTCTCTATAGCTTGCTACCATCTTATTCCCTATGATAGGCTGCCTCCTGTCTTACTGCTCAAGCTTCTCCATCTTTAGGAGCTTGAGGGGGTTGAGTCTCTTTTGGTTTAAATGAGGAAACCTTAACCTTTTGAAGATCGACAAGAAAGTAGATTCTTCAGCAATAATATGTTGATGAGCACGTGTGAGAAATTCTTGATAGGTCGTCGACTTGTTTTGGAAAAGAGATCAACGAAACACAGATTTGGGTCAAACTCAGCATAAGAAAAGACCAAAAGTATGTTAGGACGACACGATTCCATATTTTGAGTCTAAGTATTGAACCAAATGTTATATCTTTCAAACAACCAAATGTTATATCTTTCAAACTTTTGTCGCCCTCGTGAACAATATTCGTGGTGGACTCTTTAGGAATCATGCAAAATTATCTAATTATTCACGAGTCATTCCATTATATGTTGAGTCATGTCACCACAACCTGTATCTTTTGGACACATGTCAAAGGAGGGAGATTCTACAACATGCAAAATGACAAGTGTATTTATGCCTTTCAGGGATGTGATGTTGACACTTTAGAGCATCTTAAATGGTTCATGAATTGTTCTATTTTATTGTCACGTGGCCCAATAAATCCTATGTTCATATAACAACTAGAATAACCTAGTTTATTTAGCGTATCAGCTCGACCATATTATTAGCTCGGTTTTTGGCCAGTAGATGGGCGATAATCTTGATCATGTCAATCAGCTCGGAACCGAACAGATAGCTTAATTCGTAGTAATAGCTCAGCTAAACGATTAAGCCATGCTGATAAATTGCTCGGATTACGAGTTGTTCAATAGTAAAGTAAGAGAACACGGCTCGGGGGCCGAGCAGGTTACCCATCCGTGGTGACAGCTCGGCCTTATGGTTAAAATACTGTTGGCAGCTCGGTTTTATAGAGTAACTCGGCTGGGTACGGCTTGGCTAGGTGGTGATAAAATGCAGCTTGAGTGAAGACCGAGCAGGTAAGGCAATTATGGGTAGTAACATATAAAGGACACGTTGAATGTCATGATCAAAAGGAGATAAATGATCTCACGGAGGAGAGACAAAGGCGTGTTGGGCAAGCTAATAATTCGATATAAATAGGTAAACAGGGAAAAGGGTAAAGGATAATCACACTCTAAAACCTTAATACTACTTGCAGTTACATACAACTTTCCTCAACTCCTTACTGACTTGAGCGTCGAAGGTTTACCACCGGGAGCACCTCCCGACGTCTTTGCAGGTCTTGGGGGAGCTCAAAATGGTCGAGGAGTGGAGGAGAACCGGGTTGGGGTGCAGGAGTGCTATCATATGTGGCATTGAAAATGACTAGAAGTCTTTCTAGACAAAGAAGTATTTATAAAACCTCCTATTATACATTATATTATTTAATAGATATCTATCTCATTTCCAACCGATTATAATCTTACATGTGTCAAATTATACTACAGTTGACAATTAACAATTGGAGACATAATTTTATAATTTTCTTTTTTCATGTTATACATCTCTAAATGGACAATATATCATTGGAGATGCTTCTAGTTCGGCAGCTGGCTATCTTTGTATGCTTGATTAGGTCGATAAGGGATTTTTTTTGTGTCCATACATAGGTCGATTCGAAAATTCAGTAGTAATGGTTCTCAGTGTTGATATCTCCGATACGTGGAATATGTTAAGTAATTTCACAGAAACATTATCAACATTTATACTATTAAAAAACAATTTGTTTTTTCCAATATTAAATATAAGTAAAATGCTAGACGTACATAATATTGTATATAATGGTGTACAAAACACTCACTTTGGTCAGACAGACCAAAAATAAAAAATCAAGTGAACCCTACTCCATGTAAGTGTTATGTATACTTCTGCGTATATTTATTATGTAATTACTACTAGCATCTATCTATATATATATAAAAAGAATTACTATTTTTTAAAAATGGCAAGACAAACTGTGGTCAAATATGGTTGAGCATTAATTGCATGCTATTAATAGCAACTTTTTATTTTATTTTTTTAATTACAAATGTGCATCATTCATTGTTGCATTTAATGTGGAGTTTGTTAAGTGAAGTTTGTTACTTATTTTTGCTCAAGATTAGGTTGTTCCTTTTTCATTTTCACAAATTTTAAAAAAAAAAGTTTCTTTAACATATAATTATGTACCACATTGAAAATTATATTTTATTAATAAAATAAATTACGTCTAACTTAATAATATAAACTTAAGTTAGTATTTAAAAAAAAAAATCAGAAATTCTTTTAACATCAACTCGGCTACTACAATTGTTTTAATTAGATGTTTTTACTTTTAAATAAAATAAATTACAATTCATTTAATAATCAAAATATACAATATTTTTATTCTATTATTTTTATATTTTTTTATATATAAATATAACACAAAACTAATCTAATTATAAAATCGTCAATATTTTATTTGCGCAAGAACGGGTTGTAACATTTTCATTTTCACAAATTAAAGAATTTTTTTAACAGAATTAAGATTATAAAATTGCATATTTTTTTTATAAAAAGAAATTACGATTGGTTAAATAATAAAAATAACTTTAGTATTTGAAAACAATTTGAAGCCTTTTGAACATCAAAATGGCTAATACCATTAAATTAATGAATTCTTTATTTTTTTTAAAAAAATATCAATTCCTAAAGTTGCGGTTGATTTCATTTCAAAAAGAAATTTTTTTGATAACAGAAAATCGTGAATCACATTGCAGCCTAAATTAGTGGATTTGGTTCCATTATGTTCTAGAAATTTCGATCATTGAATATAATTTAAATTTCAAAATCCTTTCTCATTTTTGATTTATTGAATCGAGACTTTCCGGTAAAAGTACTTTTGTTTTCTTACCACTTTTTATAAGAAATAAAATAGCCCTTTACTTTACCCCAGTCTCGCATCTTCAAACCCGCGGACCAAGCGTTCAATTCAAGTATCGATTGTGTTTTTTATTCCAAACAATCAGATTGCAGAAAAAATTACCTTCTTGAATTGAAAATTTGAAATTCAAAATCCCTTCTCATTTTTAGTTGCCATAAAATTGGGCTTAATTAAAAATTTCTTCCTAATATAAAGGATTTTGTTCAAACTGAAAAAAAAATCTAATCACATGCTTCTATCCTTGAACGAATAACCTTAAATGAAGAATTTTGTGCCACTTTAAAATTAACAAACCTCTTGAAAATTACAAAATCATAATGAATTTCAAAATTTTTGGTTTCATTTTGCACGAAATTCAAAATGGTTTAAGAATTTCAAATCAATTTAAATTCATCTCTTTAATTTTTTTCATAAGTTTAAAAAATTTACAATAATTAAGTCAAATTACAAATGTATTGTTTCAAAAATCAAGAGAATAGTTTTGAAAATAGACATTTTTTTTTTTTTTTTAAATTGTCTTAGTCTTCATTCAATATAAAATAAAGCTAATATGTTAGGAGTTTTTAATTGTTTAAACATACAAATTTTATGTTCTCTTGAACATGCTAATTTTATACTCTTTCCTATTTTTTTAAATGTCATTCTAGCTTTATCAACTATTTGCTAAATAAATGTCGTTTTGGAACTTTTGTACATATTTTTCCATTATTACCCTCATTTAGCTAATAAATACATCACGTCTTTTCATATTCACTCTTCATCTTTTTCTCAAAACATTCATCTTTATCTTCATTAAATAAGGTTATTATTGACAAAAAAAATATTCTTAATAGATGTGCAACATCCCAAAACGACATCTATTTAAAATAGGAGGTAGTATTGTTTATTATAAAATGATATACCATAAATTATATGACATGTTAACTCCACATCGTTAATTTAAAATTATTATTTAATATCGTACCTTTTTTTTAGCTCTTTTAAGAGAGGATTAATAGTGGTTCCCCACTTCTTGCATTGAGTGACTCGAGCTCGATACTTATTTATAATAAATATTTAATATTGTCTATCCGTGCATCGCACGGGATACACACTAGTTTTCCTTAAAAACAATTTCATTAATAAGGGAAAAACAATTTGGGTTATGTTATAAAATGCGAGCAATATAAAGAACACAATGTAAAAACCGGATCAAAATTATAACAAGTTTTTCTCTATTTCTTTCTCCTTATTTTTCGTACATACTTCAGTATACACCTTTGCCCTTTTATAGGCAAATTTTGAGGCCCTCAATCACTAAGCACACATTCCAAGAAAATTGATAATATAATTAATAGTGGTAGATTCCACTTTATTCATAATACTCCCCCTTGGAATTTCCACTATTAACTGTGCGTTTATGCTGCCTCGTTAAAAACCTTATCTGGAAAAACCCTGTGGGAAAAAACCGAGACAAGGAAAAAAAAGTACAGCCGCACATACTCCTCCTCGAGTTATCATCCGTGCAAATCCCGAAGATGCCTCATCCCAATATTGTGCACGTGCTTTCGAAATATTGTCGTCGGAAGCGCCTTCGTAAACAAATATGCTGCATTATCGCTTGATCGGATGTATTGAACTCTGATTTGTTTGTTTCGTTCAAGCTCTTGCGCATATAAGAATAACTTTGGCGGGATATGTTTAGTTCTGTCACTCTTGATG